AGAACCAGAAAGCAATCCTTTATTGCTCTGTGTGAAAACCTAAAGGGTTATTCTACCTAAAACAAAATTTTCAACCGTGCGTGAATCTAAAATATTAATTTAGGGTAAGCTGACCCAAAGCAAACAGAAGCTGCCATCCTCTGACTCCTGTACTACATACTATCTCTGTAGCAGTGACTTGACACACAATAAGATGCAGCTGCAGAGAACATCCTGTTCCCTTTGTGATTGTATTTTGCATATTGTACCTATACTCCTGTAGAAGCATTTCAACTTGTTCACACCAAAAACGCACAGAAAGCACATGCACAATGGCATGCATTTTTAGTGTGTTGAATCACATTTCTAATTTTTTTTTTTTTTTTTGCTGTACAAGTCATATGATGGGTTGTAATTCTAATTTTTCATGCATTGAAGTGTAGAAAAATACAGAACTTTTATGCAACGCACCTGTATGGTATAAACGGCAAATAGAAAAACTACAGTTTTCTGTGTGTCCTTGCATTGAGCAACACAGCTCAATGCACATGGCGTGAACAAGCCCTACTATATAGTCCATTTTCTGATTCGTAGATAATTATTTTATATGTTCATGTTACAAGCTACCAACAATTACTTGGCTATATGTGACTGAACCATCAAATATGGCACAAAAAACAATGGAAGTGAAGGTCTAGGGGCTCACAGAAGCTTGTGTTCAGGCAACAAATGGACATAGATTAGCTGTCTTAAGGAACAGTTTCCAACAGTTCAGGCAGATTGGCAAGTCATTACTCTTGATCATAGACATCTGCACATTATAGCAAAGGTCACCAACTCTCCTATAGAATGTAAACACTTCCCAACCCTGGACAGGCAAAGCCTGTGTAAAATTGGGAGACATTTGGATCAAAGGTATTTACAATTATTTGTGCGCTGTGGATGGCATTTCATCTAAATACATGTCATCTGTAAAAAGAACAAACAGGAGGGTGCAACCGCCTAGTGCATTACCAATGATTTATTGTTCACAAAACATAAATGTCAAATGGATACTCAGAAGTGGAACGTAAAATCGCATAAAAAAAAAACCATAAGATGTCATAGCAAGGGGAATCGTGTGTGTCCATGCAACCCAGCTGGACCGACAATCTGATGCGTTTCAGAGGCGTACCTCCTTCCTCAGGGTATATATTGGCATCTGTTTTCTGAATAATAAATCGTTGGTAATGCACAAGGCGTTTGCACCCTCTTGTTTGTTCTTTTTGTAGTTTTCACAAGACTTCCCTAGTTGAGGAGGGCAGCATCTACTACACATTCCTGCTGAAGTTCACAAGCCATTGTATATCATATGTCATTTGTGGTCGTACAAAGCTGTCCACTATACTGCCCTGAACTACATCACTGACCTAATATCCAAGTACCCCGCCCAGCACACACACTCTGCTCCTCACAAGACCTCCTTCTCTCCAGTTCCCTGGTCTCCTCCTCCCATGCCCACCTCCAGGACTTCTCCAGGGAACTCCCATCCTCTGGAACTCCCTGCCCCAACCCATCAGATTATCACCTACTCTCCTCTCCTTTAGGCGCACCCTGAAAACCCATCTCTTCAGGGAAGCCTACCCCACCCCCTGCTAACTTGCCGACCTCCTCCACTCTTCCTACCACCCCATCCCCCACAGCTATCTCCTCCTGTGCCACCATCCCCTCCCTCCTAGATTGTAAACTCGAAAAAGCAGGGCCCTCAATCCCCTCATGTTTTGCATTGTATTGGTATTGTTCTGTCACATGTTCTGTCCCCCTTTGTAATGTACAGCGCTGAGCGAACTATTGGCGCCTTATAAATACTGTATAATAATAATCTTCAGGTGACCTCTGAGTGCTGAAATTTACAGTTTTTCATGTGTGTACGCATATTATCTCCACCTGGAAGCATCGGTTTGATATTTTCCAAACTGATTTTTTTTTTCGCAGGTAGAGAATAACTTTTGTATGAGGAATCGGCTAAAAGTCTGGCAAGCACTGCCTTATGTCTTGGTCAGACCAATTGTATTTCATCACTTTATTCGGGAAAGCAGGAAATTGCAAATTAAGTGCATAGTTGGGAAGTCTCTATACCTCTAAAGCTGGTTTTACAATTTATCCCCAAGAAAATTACCTAAAAATCTTCTAAATGACTGCAAATGAGTATAATAAAAAGGTTAATGGCTACGTTCACCTTTTTGGAAAAATAAATAAATGCACATTTTTTTTACAGGTAAAAAATTATAATTTTTTTTTTTTTCCTCTGCAGCCTGTAAAGCATTGCACTCGCAATCAGCAGAGCATGGGTGCAGATCCCGCAGACTCTCAGTACGTCTGCCCATATCACTCATACGGCCAGGCAAGCAGTTACTGAATGGCAGGAAGAATGAATAAACTACAACCTGCATTTCATTAAGAACTACAAACTAAGTGCATACATTTACTGAACGCTGTGAAGGAGAAAAATCCCCCAGCTGTTGTCACTTCAAATCGTGGGGATAAAGCGAAGGTGCATGAGCTAGGACATGTTACCTGTTCCACCCTACAGGAAGGGTGGCACATGTAACATGTTCCAAAGGTGAACTTATCCTTTCAAGAAAAGAAACTGATTCAGCATTGTGTTATGGCCATCATGCTGTCTAAAACCCACAAAAGCAGGACATCACCAGGGATGAGCATCTTTTCCTGCTGCCAGCCAAAATCTTTATTAAAAAAATTGTTTTTATGTTCTACCAAGCAATCCAAAAACAAAAAAACAGACACAGGTAAAATAGCTTTTCTCTTTGTATATTTATGTTTTCATTCGAGTTCTCCTTAAGAGCAGACATATACCAACATATTACAGTAAAGATATGTCAACAGTCTGACTGCAATATAAAAATAGCCGAAGAGTTGAAAAACACTGACCTTTGTTTAAAAAAAAAAAAAGATGGAGCTCTGCGGCTCCCTCAGCGGCAGCCAAGATGGCGCACTGATCATGTTGATTCTGCAAAAGGTGCTAAGTAGACTGAAGTTCAGCCAGAGCTGGCCAAATAAGTATTCTGCTTGAACAATGCGCCACCTCATTGTCAGTACTGAGGCAATGGTCACATGACGGACTGCAAGATGGTGCCTGGAGTGCTGCTTTCTTAAGCAAAAGTAAGAATTTCAATACTTCTGTCTGTCACAGCAAGACTGATAACAACAAAGCTTTGACATATGAGTATAAGTCTGCTTTAAGCTCTTGGGACAGTCAAATAAATTTATCTGGGATGATGGAGGCATTCCATAGAAGATAATTTAAAGCATGGAAAAAAAATAAAATAAAAAAAAACAATCACAGCAGTTCCAGTATTATTACTATAAAGGTTTTCTTCAGTGAGAAGTTAATCAAATCTGATCAGTAAACTCCTAGAGAGTATAGGCATCAAACCAGGTGAAAGCAGTCCACACTGCACAGCCTGTAGGGAAAGTCTCATGGAAATGCCAGGAAGAACAGCAGGAATGTCATGTCCAATGGTTACTCCATGCCGATGAACAACTAAATAAGCACTTGTCAATTTAGAAATATTAACAGGAATATTAAATAAAAACAGTAGGTGTTCCTCATTTTGCTTGAAGCAAATCATCCAGATACAATGAAGGCAGCCGCTCTGACCCAATCTTCATCTCACCCTACAGTATTCATTTTCTAGAAACTAGGGGCACCATTAGGGTTTTAACCCAATGATTACTGCATTTACTGTGTGTGAAATAAAGCAAAAATAAACACCGCACCGGTCACTTTGCAGTGCAAAATGTCATGCTAAAAAATGGTAGAGAAGCGTAATCAGTTATGAAGTTTCAGTATTTTCTAGGTGTAAAGTTTAGCAGTAGTAGCCATGGAAATAGGTGAAATTTGAACTCAGGAGCCTGGTATGAGGAAAGAGGGAACTACACAGAAAACGTGAACGTAATAAGAACATTTTGGCTTAGACTCTTTCCTTTGCATTTCCTTCTAGCTTTCTATATGTATCTGATCATGCCTTCTGAGAATACCAGTGCCATCAGATGTAAGCCACACTCCCAGCACTGCTATGGTTACATACATAAAAAAAAGGAGTGGTGCTGAACTTCACACATACACTAAAATGTTTATAATTGAAAAGCCGTATCTGTCCTCCCCAAAAATCTGTCCATGCTTTATTCAAAAGCATTCTACTCGTGTGCGAAGTCTCAGATTTAATCAATTATGCTTGGACTGCATATTATATCCTGGGCAATGGCATTACACTGTCACCACGCTAAGTTTTACAAAGAAAGATCCCTGGAAAAGAAAAATCAATAAGACATACCTGTCAGGCAGAAGGGGAACCCTAACTTTGCTCACTTGCAGAGCAACTGTAATGGCGGCTGCAGAAACAAACAACACACTAATGCAGTGGCAGAATAGTGTCCAGTTCCATCCATTGGCTCCTAGATTACTATAGAACACAGTAACCATAGCATGCAACAGGCATCCAATGTTCCCAGAAGTGTAGCTCTGCGAGAGGACATAGATATGGCTCACCACCTGACAGCTAAATATTATTGATCTTTTATAGAGACCTTTAATATTCATTTTTTTGGCTGTAACAACGTCACTTTCAGCTTTACCACCCCAGGACCAATATGCAGCCAGGAAGAGAAAGGCAGCTCATATCCAAGACTTTACACAGGGGTGTTTGTTTTTTTTACAGGATCTCACAGTCTGCCAAGTGACCGGTTTACATTAAATCTGAATGTAGAGAGTCATCTATTCCACTTCAGCTGTCTGACTGATTCATGCACATACACTCAGCAGGAACTCTGAGATACCACTCTGTGCAATTGAACAGCAAGTACATCTTTAGAAAGAAAGACGCACTGCCATTGTTTAAAAACATCTATGCTTATGTGGATAAAAAAGGCATTGTTACAATGGCTCAAAACTGTTTTTCATTTTTTTTTGTAGGTTTAATTTTTACATAAGAAAGTCAAAAAGAAGGTGACAGTTTCTTTTAACTGGAGAATGGCTTTCCGGTTTCCTCCTTTCCTTTGTACTTCCGTTTTCCGTGTGTGAATGGGATGTATCTGTATTTAATCATGTGCTACAAAACAAAAAAAATTATTATTTTTTTAAACTCAGGAGTGCTGGGGCACGTCCACTCAGTGCTGCAGTGTAAAAAAAATACATCAAAGTAAAAAAATAAAAAATAAAGTTTTGGATAGCGTGGGCAATAGTTAAAACCTGTCAGTTTTGGGGGGTTTTTTTGGGGTGTGTCTTGTTACGGAACCTGTCCCCTGAGACACTGCAAGAAGTCATAAGAAATCTCTCAAAAGTGAAGGAAAAATCAACTAAATGGTTTGCCTTGGTACAGGGATCTGAATTGGAAGACTTCTTCTTCAGCTCCTGTTCTAGTGACAATCAAAAACTTTGGATTTCTCATCACTTTGTATTCTGGTGACACACCACGAGGACAAATAAAGAGGGGTTAGACCAAAAAAAAAAAAAAAACACTACATGATTTGCAGGTGTGAAAGTGACAACATGCTTTGTGTAGAAATCAAAAGTGATGTAACATTCTTTTGCGTTTGCTGTGTGATGAAACATCTTGCCAACAGGTGGGAAGCCTCACTTTCGACATCCAATGCTGCTAGTAATATGGAGTCATGTCGGAGCTTACTGAGCTTCAAAGAGGGCAAATTTTTTGCCAATTTATTTCTGAGATTGAGCTCTGCAGTCACTTTTGCAGTAGTTTTCTTATCCCGGGTCGCAATCCTGCTCAATGCCCTTTTGCCTCTTTTGGTCAGATGACCATGTCAACCACCCGTATGTTTATCAGGCGACATTTCCCCAGAAACCGTATGTGCCGTCATAACCTTTGACAATGTACCTCGCGACACAGCAAATAAATCGGAAACGTTCGTCACCGAGGCACCAACAATTTGCCCTCTCTGAAGCTCAGTACGCTGACATGACTCCGTATTACTAGCAGCGCACACAGTGAATGACAAAAGTGAGGCTTCCCACCTGTTAGCTAGGTGTCTCATCACACAGTGGAAGTAAAAGAATGTTCCACTTCCAATGCAAAACATGTCATCAATTTCACACCTGCAAATCATTTAATGTTTCCATTTTTTTGTCTAACCCCTGTAAGAGGACACAACAGTTAAAACATTGTAGGAATTCTAACCCTTAACTACTATCCAAAATTTTAAAGAAAATGGAACTATACATGAAATAAAACAGTTAGATGTGCTAAATTTCCCTAAAAAAGGTACAAATATGGCATAGGAGACAGGCACCACAAGATGTAATTATCTGTGTTAACCAAAAACCCTTCTCTGCTCATATGTCAGAATTCTAGTTTTAGTTTGTTACTGGGACCCAGTAAAAGTGGCGTAGTTTTCATCTCTTCGTCTGCTTGTGAAGACACAGCCATACAGGATAACTCATCTCTATGATTGTACTTGGCACATGCAGGTATTTCACAGGCTGCCCAATGGAGAGTAACAATGCTCAGGTGTACAAAGTCAGTGGAAGTTTATTCCTATGCATCTGAAGTGGGTATTAGAAAGGGGAAGTTTGATGAGGAGTGCAAATGGGAGGTCAAACATCAGATGTATATTAAAAGTACATTTATATTTTAAAGTCCATCACTAGATAAAAACATTTTTTCTATATTATACATCATGGGACACAAAACAGCTCTATTATTTCTTACTCACAAGGTAATGTGCCACCTACAGGCAATTGGACAATGGCAAAAAAAGGAGGACCTTCTTGTATGGGAGGGAGTTATATAAAACCGGATTCATGTCTTTTTGCCAGTGTCCAATTTATGCCTTCCTTCCGCTGCAGCTTCTTCGGTGTTGGCGATTCTAGTTTCTACAGCCTAGCCCAGGAGAGTGAGGTATTCTGACATGTCAGTAGGCAATTCTTTCACTCTTCCGGTTTGTTCCGAACTGCTTTCACAAGAGCTGATCTTCTATTCTTGTTTAATGGCACTGGCTTTAATGGTTTTGCTACTGAAAACAGAATCCTAAAGGATCTATTGCAGTTATTCCCATGATTATGAGAGCCAGAAAGGCTACTTCAAGGAAGACTTACTACAGGACCAGGAAATCCTATGTGGCCTGGTGTCAGGCTAGGACATTTCCTCCTCACAAATATGTTGTGGGATGCATCTGGATTTAAGTACAATCAAGGGCCAGCTTTCAACCTTGGCAGTCCTCTTTCAGTAACCGACTGCTTCTCTTTTCTCGGTGTGTACCTTTGAGGTGTTATGCATATTGTTCCTCCTGTCAGATTGTCTTTGACCCCATGGGATCTCAAATTGGTTCTGTTCTACAGAGACCTCAATGTGGTTTGATCTAACAGGAAGTATTTGAAATTAACGTCCGCAGTCAGGCAATAAGACTACTTGTCCTTTCCAGAGGGCCAAAGAAGGGTCAAGTTGCAACGAACACTACTACGTCTCATTGGATTCATCAGCTTATCTCTCAAGCTTAAGGTCTGAAAGGAAGGGCTTCACCTTCTCCATTGACGGATCATTCCACCAAGAGTGTAGGTACCATCCATCATCAAGCTTCATGGCTCAGGTCTGCAAGGCCACAACACGGTATCCAGTTGACACTTTTACAAGATTCTACCAGGTGGATGTAAGAGCTACTGAGGACATAGCCTTTGGTCGCAATGTTTTGCAGGCTGCTGTTCTTTTGGGCCTCTCCGTAGTTCCTATGTCACCTTCCCCTAATGAGCATGTTTTGAGGCTGCATTCACACTTGAGCATTTTGTAGCTTGAAGCTCCAAAAAAGCTCAAACTTACAAAAATCAATTGTTCTCTATGTTGCCTGTATGCATCAGGTGTCAGGTGTGAACAGGCACCACAGACAACAATTGATTTTTTAAGTTTGAGCTTTTTTGGAGCTTCAAGCTACAAAATGCTCAAGTGTGAATGCAGCAGAGAGATCTCTGTGAGCAAGGCATAATAGAGCTGCTCTGTGACCTGTGATGTACAATAAAGAAAACTGGATTTTTGACTTGCCTGTAAAATCCATTTCTTAGACTATATCACAGGACACAGAGATCTGTCCCACTGTGTTGGGGAATATGGCTTGCTAGAAAACCGAGGACCCTCCTTAATAAGAGGGGTTCTATAGGAAGGGATATTGTCTTTTTCCCTAATGTCTAACCACCTGTAGGTGGTACATAACCCTGTGAGTAAGGAATAACAGAGCTGCTCTATGTCCTGTGATGTACTCCCAAGAAATGGATTTTTACAAAAATCCAGTTTTTAAAAAAAGGGACAAGCCTGTTAAAAAAAAAAACAAACAAAAAACACAACAATAAAAAAAAGTTAATACGTGTCCCTCCACCCATACTTCCGGTTTTCACTCTGCTACAGAACTAAGCTAGCTGAAAAGTCTGAATCCAATAGATACTTCTGCTAAGTATTGGATGCTTTGACCCTTTCCACTGCTGTGGTTCCATCCACAGGTCTATGTGTTACAGCGTCCTGTAGTGACATAATTGTCCAGAGGCTGGAACCACAGTGTTCAGTGCAGGACCAAGCACCAACACTCCCAGAAGTGACGCTGGAGAGTCTTCTGGAAGCTTATCTTTGTGACAGGTGAAGGACTGATGGCAAGACAGGTATTAATGGTTTCTCTTTGCAGGATGATTTTTTTTTTAATATAGAAAACATAGAATGTCAAAAAATATACTAACGTTATATTGAATATAACTTAAAGTGGTATTAAACCCAAAAGCAAACATTTATAATATTGTAGCTTACCATTTCTTAAATGTGATGGCTGTTTTTCAAAAGAACAAACTCTGCAGCAGAATGTATCAGTTACAGAGAAGGGGCAAACCATTTACATTGACAGGGGTTGCTTACAATGATCAGCTTTTATTTGTTTGAATAAAACCTTTATCTATTAAAAAAAAAAAAAAGTTTCTGTTAACTGCTTATAAATTATTAGCAGGAGTTTGGCTTCAATTTCTTGGTGCATTTAAATCTGCTAGTAGATCTAACAATCCCCTCACTCCAGACTGAGAATGGTATTGTCCAAAAGTTGCCCTCATGTTCATTCATCCACAGAGGCACTAATAGACGAGGTGTGTTACTAGCTAGATTACGAGGTGATAACAGAGGAAAAAAGCCTAAAAAAGGAAAAAACTGATGCAGCCACAATATCTAATGATAAGCTGCAATATTAAATTTTTGGTTTTGGATTTAATATTGCTTTTAACACTTACCTTTATTTGTCTCTTCATGGTTATGCAGAAGAGCATGATAAAATACATGACAAGGATAGGCCAAAATACAGGGACGTTGAATGCATCAAAGAAAGTGCATACCATGGCAACAACGATTCCTTTAGTGGCTGAGTGCCTAGAGAAGAAAAAAAAAAAAAAATTGTGCCAAAAAAAAAAAAAAAAAAACAGTATTGTGCCATGTGTCTTGTTCACATACAAAGCGTTTTTACGCTTCCCAAAAGATTCTTACAGCAAAACTGACAGACGGATTCTCTCCTATTACAAACGCCCGGCCGGCGTTTTGTGACGGTTGCGGGGCGTTTGCCCGTTTGTGGGGCGTTATATCAACTAAAACGCCACAACCGGCGTTTCCGAGCGTTAAAAAAACGCTCAACGCTTGCCAAACGCTATAGGGGCGTTTGGCAAGCGTTGGCAAAACACCTGTGTGAACGAGCCCAAAGGGCCACCTGCTGCTGACATCTTGTATCCTTACACACCCATATGAATACAATAGTTTTCTGTAACCACCTACATATCGGAGCAATAGGCAGCAAAATATTCTACTGTATGCAGACTGCACCATGAGAGGGATGTTTGATCTGATCATCTGGGAGGATGTGCATCTCACACCAGACAGCTCAGGACTTAGATTTGGATACACTTTTATATTCGTCCATGTAAAAGCAAGTGTGGATCTATTCTTTTACTGCAAGGGATTGGAATGTGTGAGCAGAGTAAAGTAAAGATATTTCACCGATGTAGGTTGTGCCAACCAATCAAAAATTAATTAGTAAAATAAAATTAATAAATCTAATTGAAGAGGAATAATCACAGTCACTTTATTTATTATTGATTTATTGATATTAATTTTGTTTATATGATTATTTGGCACTAAAATCACTGCAATTAGATTTATTAATTTAATAAATTATTGGGATTATGAAAAAAATCTGTCAAAATTTTATTTTATTGAGGATTATTAATTTATAGTTGATGTTTCACCAATTCATTTTTGATTGGTTGGCACAAAATCATTTATGAATTGTTTAATGGTATTTGGTTTTTTAAAAATAATTATGGTTTAAAGGTTATTATGAGGTATCAAGGAGCGCAACATACATCGGTGAAATGTTTTGACACACAGTGGTAGTTATGTGTTTTATGTTGGCGATCCACTAGAATTGAGATCATCTTGGCTCGCAGGTTATACAAATTTACATATATTTAGAGTAAAGTAAAGAGTATATGTAGGAAGAGAAGACCACTACATAAAACTGTAAATCCAGCCAGTGTCTCAATAGGCACATTTGGTTTACATGTTCCCTTTACTGCTGCTTGGACAGCTGATTAGGTACTGATAAGCTGGGGTAGTTTATCCTGCTGCTAATAGAGAACCTGTTACCTGTGCTTTCATGCTTCATGCCGTGTCATGACAGGTGGTCTGTTAAGAAAGTCCAGCACTAGAGCTGCAACTTGTTTGCTTTTGCAAACTGACAATCTAGATGACATACTCTCTGCTAGAAATGGAGAAAAGGGAGGGTCATCCTTCTCGGATTCATTCATGACTCACTTAACTAGATGTGTGTGTGATCAGAGCTCCTGGTCTGTACAGCACACTAGATATATAGAATATTTCATATATAGTTGACTAAAAAGAAACATTTTCTGTCTGAACACAACAGTGAAAATTTAAAAAGAGAAGCTCTCATATGTTAAAACAAAAAAAAAAAAAAATACATGCACAACTTTCTGCAGGTAGAAAAATGTGCTGTTATTTTTAAAAATAGTAGTCTGTAAGTCATTGCACCCACTAATCAGTAAATTGCTGGTGCAATCTCAGGCTCCTGCAGGTGATCAGTGAATCACAGGAAGCATAGAATAACTACTTCATCAGCACCTTAGTAGTTAATTGAGAACTACAGACAGGTGGAGCTCTGTGAATGAATGACAGCCATGTAGGCAGAGGTCTGCACGGTTGCTTTTTAAAAGAATTGAGACAGTGGGTGCAGGGAGAGGATCCCTGGCCCGCTGTCACAAAGGGGGATCGGGGGGTAGTAGGGACTGCAATAGTAACATGTTGTTACACCCTGAATACATGTTAGGAAAGGTGAACAAATCCTTTAAGGAAAACCTCCATGTATTCCTTTAAAATACTGGCCTGCATCACCTCCCAGCTCTGGTCAATGCCTAAATTATTTTTAGTATAGCAGTATGCTTCAGCAACTTATCAAAAATCCCTCTTTGATCTGACAGAAAGCCAAAAAAAAATAAATAAATTAAAAAAAAAAATAAAACCACAGATGGAAGCTGACTGGTTCCTACACACAACATCACCGCAATTATTTTATGTCTGTAACAGTCTAAAAATGTAGTTTCCATCTGCTTATATTTTTTGCAAATAATAAGCAGCTCCAATCACCGCTTGCATTAACTTGAATGTCCTTCAGATGTTATACTTAACTTGCCGCACAAATCTATGCTAACACATTGACTGACAATATGTTAATTACCAAAAATGTATCCAAGATTATAATTCTATGCATTATAATAGTGACAAGTTCGGATACATGTCATATAAAAACACAGTAGTCAATATATTGCATATACTCTAAAGAATGACATTAATACTACGTTCTATTCAAGCTGCAACAGTGCAGAAAATACTACGTACAAAGTATTTTCTTTGAGGGCCTGTATACATAAATGACAGCCAATTCCATTGTGTCATTTATACAACCAGTCAATCACCTACAGAAACTTCCACTCGTTTTCTAGTTTAGGGCTTACAGAACTTTAGTGATTTTTTTTTCCTTTAAAATCATTTGCTATAACCCTAAGTAGTTTGCTCCTGCAAGGTGTAGATCAATATTTCTTAACACAATGTCCATGTAGACACCTTCCATAGTGATACTACCAACCCACAGCACTGTGAGCTCCTACTTCAGAGACCATGCGGTCACTAACATCTCCTGGTATCATTTATCAGGAACCAGTCAGCATGTTTTGATTGGTTACTGGGGTTATTTACTGGTTGACAGTTGTAGGCGATGTCAGTTTGATGAAGGTCATACTACGCTGTCTGAAACATTTCCATGGTGACATCAACAAAATTTTCTGAATGAAGAATCCAGGGGTGCCGGAGATATACTGTATACTACTTAGTTCCTGTGACTGCATCCACAAAAAATGTTACAGCTAACAAAAGCATCAGTGTTATGTCTCTCACAGTTTGTGACACTTTCCTTGTCCATCTGCTACTCAAGATGCATTTTAGGACCACAGCACCTAACACACCTGTCCCTACTGTTCTAGATCTTGGCAATATGAAAACAGGACAGGGACAACCATGCCATAAACATAAAACATAAGGAATGCTGCGCTACATTCAAATCAAACAAAATGTGAATGTGGGATCCCAAAATATTAAATAAAAAAAATGTGACAATGTTATCAAAACAGGTCTATACGTGCTTACTGATAATAACATAAATCAAATAAATAGCTCAAAAACATGTGGGAACACAAAAAACAATATCTATATATATGTGCATAAACCAAAAAAACACACATATATAATGTAATCACACGTGCCTATTGTGAAGTGAAAAATAACCATAATAATGGTACACACAAACTTATATCTCAAAGTCCAAAACATAAATATTGTTGGTGAACCAAACAGTAAACGGTGCTTCCAAATTGTACTGTTAGTGACCACAGGTGAAAACTCGTGCAGGTTTCTGGGTGTATACAGATCTGCGAATCCAACCACCATCTGAATTAGCCTCTCACCTTATCCCTTCGACCCTTGCGGATCAAAGAGCAGTAGTGGATCCCTCTCACAGATCCTCCAGGCATCAAAACACTCCAAAGACAGTTTTCTCAGAGTATAATATTCCCACTATGGCTCTTCTCCAGGAAAAGTTGTAATATCAATCTCTCAAAATGAGACAAAGGAGTATTCATCTGAAAGCATGAGGTTTGTTCTTGGACTGGCTGCTACGTAAGTTTCAATGTAAATATGCTACATGTTCCTATGGTATAATTAAATATACTACACTATGGGAGGATTCCTTTGTCTCATTTTGAGAGATTGATATTACAACTTTTCCTGGAGAAGAGCCATAGTGGGAATATTATACTCTGAGAAAACTGTCTTTGGAGTGTTTTGATGCCTGGAGGATCTGTGAGAGGGATCCACTACTGCTCTTTGATCCGCAAGGGTCGAAGGGATAAGGTGAGAAGCTAATTCAGATGGTGGTTGGATTCGCAGATCTGTATACACCCAGAAACCTGCACGAGTTTTCACCTGTGGTCACTAACAGTACAATTTGGAAGCACCGTTTACTGTTTGGTTCACCAACAATATTTATGTTTTGGACTTTGAGATATAAGTTTGTGTGTACCATTATTATGGTTATTTTTCACTTCACAATAGGCACGTGTGATTACATTATATATGTGTGTTTTTTTGGTTTATGCACATATATATATAGATATTGTTTTTTGTGTTCCCACATGTTTTTGAGCTATTTATTTGATTTATGTTATTATCAGTAAGCACGTATAGACCTGTTTTGATAACATTGTCACATTTTTTTTTATTTAATATTTTGGGATCCCACATTCACATTTTGTTTGATTTGAATGTAGCGCAGCATTCCTTATGTTTTATATTTACTTAATCACTGGTATATGATTTAATGCTAGCAGCTCTCTTTGGGATTTACACACATATTTAATTGATTTATTTAATTTTTAAATATACACTTGGAGCGCAGGAGGGTCACACCATCACATGCCATAAACATGACACTGTAAAGAATAAAAAAAAAAAAAAGAAAAAAAAGGAAGGATATTTAAAACGATGCAACGCAGACACACAAAACCTTACCAAAATTTAAATTCCGGAAGCCGTCTAATAAATGGACGGAACTCTTCATTTTGTTTTGTCGGTAATGACGGACCCTCATCTAGAAAAACAAAAAACATGCACAGCCATGTGAAAACGGAAACAGCAGCTTGGTGGACAATCGTCTCCACATACAGCTCTATCAACATATTTGAACCAACCAGTCAAGTTTGTAAAAATCTGGGATTTATAAGCAGACTTACAGTGGATATAAAAAGTCTACATACTCCTGTTAACATGTCAGGTTTCAGTGATGTAAAAAAAAAAAAAAAACACCTCAGTTGAACAACAAACTGAAATCTTTTAGGTGGAGGGAAGTAAAAATAAAAAGCTTAAATAATATGGTTGCATAAGTGTGCACACCCTTAAACTAATACTTTGTTGAAGCACCTTTAGATTTTATTCCAGCACTCAGTCTTTTTGGGTATGAGTCTATCAGCATGGCACATCTTGACTTGGCAATATTTGCCCGCTCTTCCTTGCAAAAACACTCCAAATCTGTCAGATTTTAAGGGCATCTCCTGTGCACAGCCCTCTTCAGATCACCCCACAGATTTTCGATGGGATTAAGGTCTGGGCTCTGGCTGGGCCATTCCAAAACTTTAATCTTCTTCTGGTGAAGCCATTCCTTTGTTGGTTTGGATGTATGCTTTGGTTCGTTGTCATGCTGAAAGATGACGTTCCTCTTCAGATTTCTAGCAGAAGCCTGAAGGTTTTGTGCCGATATTGATTGGGATTTGGAACTGTTCATAATTCCCTCTACCTTGACTAAGGTCTCAGTTCCAGCAGAAGAAAAACAGCCCCAAATCATGCTGCCACCACCATGCTTCACTGTGGGTATGGTGTTCTTTTGGTGACTGGCAGTGTTGTTTACGTGCCAAACATATCTTTTGCAATTATGGCCAAAAAAAGTTCAACCTTGGTTTCATCAGACCATAACACATTTTCCCACATGTTTTTGGGAGACTTCAGATGAGTTTTTGCAAAATTTAGCTGGCTTCGATGTTTTTCTTTGTAAGAAAAGGCTTCCATCTTGCCACTCTGCCCCATAGCCCAGACATATGAAGAATACGGGAGATTGTTGTCACTGTACCACATAGCCAGTACTTGCCAGATATTCCTGCAGCTCCTTTAATGTTGCTGTAGGCCTCTTGGCAGCCTCCCAGACCAGTTTACTTCTCATCTTTTCATCAGTTTTGAAGGGCCGTCCAGTTCTTGGTAATGTCACTGTTGCATCATATTTTCTCCACTTGATGAGGACTGTCTTCACTGTGTTCCATGGTATATCTAATGCTTTGGAAATTCTTTTGTACCCTTCCCCTGAGTGATACCTTTTAACAATGAGATCCCTCTGATGCTTTGGAAACTCTGTGGACCATGGCTTTTGCTGTAGGATGCGACTAAGAAAATGTCAGGAAAGACCTACTAGAACAACTGAACTTTATTTGAGGTTAGCAGAGGCACTTTAAAACAACCGCAGGTGTGCACTGACTCTTAACATGATTTTGAATGTGATTGCTTAATTCTGTACACAGCTACATCCCCATTTATAAGAGGGTGTGCACACTTATGCAACCGCATTATTTTAGTTTATGTTCACTCCCACCCCCCATCCCCCCGAAAAAAAAGACTTCAGTTTTTCAATTGAGTTGTACAGTTTATAGGTCACATTAAAAAAGGTAGAAAATGTTCTGAAATGATTTAACTTCATCTCAATTTTGCATCACAGAAACCTGACATTTTCACAGGGGTGTATATACTTTTTATATCCACTGTACATCTCAGGGATAGGTGGGTGATGCGGTTTGGCTTTATTATCCTCCTGTCAGAGTCATTGGGGTTGATTTACTAAAAATTGGAGAATGTCAAATCTGGTTTTCTATGCAGAGCTGCACCAATCAGCTTCCAGATTTATTTTGTCAAAGCTTAATTGAACAAGCTAAACTTAAGAATCTGACTGGATACCATGCGCAGCTGCACCAAATTTTGCACTCTCTAGCTTAGTAAATCAACCCTGTGTCAGGCACCAGAGAGGCCAATCTGCTCTCTGTCTGAGCTCAGGACTGACAACTGACACGGTCAGCCTGCTGGATGAGGATAAACAGGTCTTTTGTTTTCCTTCATGTAACCCCGATAGCATCTTTGTTATATGACAGTTTTAAGTGTCTGTTATTAGCACCAAGCTCTAGCATACAGCCTGACCCTTCTGCACGGACTGCGTTTCTAGTCTTTTAAACTTACTTTATCTTATACACATACATACAGCATTAACAACTGTACAATAGAAGATTTCAAAACTAACCCACATTTAAAAAGCTGATTGCTTAGATTGCACAATAGCTGTCACACCACATCAAATAGACAGTACAATTCCACAACAAATGCCAAAATACGACTATGTCTGGCAAGGATATCTTGCTGCTGGAACTCCACAGATAAACACGTAGTCAGCATTTCGCAAATATGGAGGTACTGGATTTAACATGGTTAAATCTTGTGAAAGATTTGTGGGAGATATTTGCCTGTATAGGATTACACCCAAATTTATCGTCAACTAGGGCTGCAACTAATGATTATTTTCATAATTACTTGACCGATTATTGTTTTGATTATTCAGATAAAAAAAACAAAAAAACAAAATGAAAAAAGATGTTTGGTTAGGAACAACATATCCTATCCTCTCTCAGAATAACAGAATATATAGTATAGATACTTATAAAAGGATGAAACTGGTACACATCAGACTCAGATCACTTTTTTTTCTTCTTTACATGAAAGACCTAAAAACACCATTTTGCAGATTTTCAGACATGACTAGAATATAATATATGTGGCAGACTAGAATATTATACATGACAGCTTGAGAGAAGCTACCTACACCTGCTGTCACTATTCCATTTGTCAGCGGCACGTGTTTTTTTTTTTTTTATCACCAGTCATCATGGGGTTAAAAAAAAAACCACACACACACACCAAGTCAAACCAGGACTTTTACAGGTATAAAAAAGGGATGCTAGCAAGGCAATACTACACGTTGAGACCATTCCAGTCCAGAGACCATTAATCAAGATGGCAGACAACAGTGTTAGTGCGTGCATGGAACAGCACGTGGTGATGAAGTTTCTTGTAAATGTAAAACCCTCGGATATCTACAAGACTTCAAGCACAGTACAGAGATGAGACGCTCAGCCGCAATATGAAAAATTTGACCGGTGTAAGCATTTCAAAGATGGCTGTACATCCCTCAGTGATCATCTCAGCCGTGGTGGTTCCCAGCCCACAGCAGTCATTCCTGTGAACATTCAGCATCTGATCCTGTCTGACTGACACATAGCCTGAATAACGAATCTTTCTGCGGGAGCAATGAACACAACGATGACAAAGTGTATCAGGAAGTCCTAGGATAGTTCAGATGTACTGACAAAGCTTTCCAGGCTATGTTAAATGCTGGGATAGATGTATGAAATGCAGTGGGGGGGGGGGGGGGGGGCTATGTCAGAAATATAAATGCAGTTTCCATTCCTTGACATTTGTTCTTTTGTATATTTAGAACACACACACACACACAAACACGCACTATATTGCCAAAAGGGACACCTGCCTTTACACATACATGAACTTTAATGCCATCCCAGTCTTAGTCCATAGGGTTCATTATTGAGTTGGCCCCGCCCTTTGCAGCTATAACAGCTTCAACTCTTCTGGGAAGGCTGCCCACAGTGTGTCTATGGGAATGTTTCACCATTCTTCCAGAAGTACATTTGTGAGGTCAGGCACTGATGTTGAACAAGAAGGCCTGGCTCACAGTCTCCGCTCTAATTCATCCCAAAGGTGTTCTATCGGGTTGAGGTCAGTCAAATTCCTCCACCCCAAACTCGCTCATCCATGTCTTTATGGACCTTGCTTTGTGCACTGGTGTGCAGTCATGTTGGAACAGGAAGGGGCCATCCCCAAACTGTTCCCACAAAGTTGGGAGCATGAAATTGTCCAAAATGTCTTGGTATGCTGACGCCTTAAGAGTTCCCTTCACTGGAACTAAGGGGCCAAGCCCAACCCCTGAAAAAACAACCCCACACCATAATCCCCCCTCCACCAAACTTTTTGTACTTGGCACAATGCAGTCAGGCAAGTACTGTTCTCCTGGCCACCACCAAACCCAGACACATCCATTGGATTGCCAGACAGAGAAGTGTGATTCGTCACTCCAGAGAACACGTCTCCACTGCTCTAGAGTGCAGTGGCGGCATGCTTTACACTACTGCATCCAACGCTTTGCATTGCGCTTGGTGATGTAAGGCTTGGATGCAGCTGCTTGGCCATGGAAACCCATTCCATGAAGCTCTCTATGCACTGTATGTGTGGTAATCTTATGACCACACGAAGTTTGGAGGTCTTTAGCTACTGATTCTGCAGACAGTCAGCGACTTCTGCGCGCTGTGTATTTCAGCATGCACTGACCCCGCGCTGTCATTTTACATGGCCTACCACTTCGTAGCTGAGTGGCTGTTGTTCCCAGTTGCTTCCACTTTGCTATAATACCACTAACAATTGACTGATTCGAACGCCTGAATCCAATGATTTGGAGGGGTGTCCCAATACTTTTGGCAGTGTACACACCCACAGGGGGAGAACTCATGCTGGGTCGACCCCTAGCTGCACTGCTTGCTTTTGTTGACACAGTGTACAGAGCTGTATGTGTGCTGCACGGTGTATACTGACCAACTGATAACTATTTTTATGATCGATTAGAATTGATTATGTCGATTAGTTCCTTCAGCCCTGTCGTCAACACCTTTACACAGTAATTAAGATTTCAGTTAAAAGAAACATATTGTACCTGAATCTTCCATTAAGGATGGGTCTACTTTTGGAGATAAGAATGCTATGAAGAGATTTAGGTGGTAGATACCCAAGGCATACGTTACTATATACCAACCCTGCAAAAAAGAAAAAAAAAAAAACGAAATATAAAAAAACACAATAGTGTGAACATCCAAATTAAATTTAATGCATCAGTCTACACATTTTATATAGTTCAGATATTCCAGCAGCTACAGCTCTGCACCTAAGCCCTCTTGTTCAGCCACTTTCTGCAGCCTTTAGAAGAAGGCTGCACTCTCACTACAGGATGTCAGTTATTCTAAATAATAGTGAAAGCAGCATAAGGAGCATTAGCCTATGTGCGAAGGGGACAGAGCGAGAACACTGATAATGGAGGGGATCTCTCACTGCTCGAGTCTTTAAAATAATGAATTCATTATAAAGAGTGATACTTTAGCTATGGTAATAAAGTTAATCCAAACAGTTCCCTGTAAAATAAAATGTATACTTGCCTGTTGGGTGGCGAGTTATTTCTTTTTTTCATTCAAAAAGCCACAGGAACTGCTGCCATCATACACTTCCAGGTATGTGCCGCATTGTGTGCATCCCACTGGGCACTGTAGTTCATCCTGCTTGACAAAGTGGTTTCACCTGTTAACCCCTTTGTCCCACAGGACAGTAATTATACAGAGATCAGCTGGTGAAACCACTGCGTCCAGCAGTGGGTGGGGGCACAATATTTGACAAAAATTTCAAATAGCAGTGGTGAATGGAGCTGTTCAATAGACATTTTACCCACCATCCATCAAATAGGCAAGTATAAAGATTCCTATTCTACAGGGAGTTGCCGATACATCTAGTGACAGGTTCTCTTTAAAATTTTGAGCCCCTTCAAGTTTTAGCTAAATATTAACCCAGTAAATCTGACCTGACAGTGTTAACGCTACCTGACCTGCCTGTTTCAGCATCGTATTTACTAGCTCAATGACTCCCAAGAAAAATGGTCACAGCTAGAGAAAAGGGCTCATAGGTCGGCTGCTAGAAACTCTCAGTTTGGCACATTATATATTGAGAAAGCAATGAAATACCAGAGATAGTAAAACCCTGTGCTGGCCCCTGCTAGCTTAGATAGTGGCAAGTTTTCTTCAGGACAAAAAGTACTGTGTGTTCTGCATAGTTTTTAGCTACAGAGGCCAATGGGTTTAATATTTTTTTAATTTTGAAATAGGAATTATCCATTATCTACTAAGTCCCTCAAAATAGCCAACTGCTGCATATTATATTACAAACATGGCAATCTCTATGAAGTGCATATTCAACAAAGCTTGCAGCAACAGGTAACAAAAAACATACCTGTAGTATATAAACCCTTATCATGTAGAGCATGCTTAGGCCCATAGTCATCAGCCATCGCACTGCTGTGTAAGGTGTGGATTTGTCTAGCCACGACTGGTATATCTGAAAAACAAACAAATGTTAATAAAAAAACAAAAAAACAAAAAAAAAAACCACTATGTTGTAACAAATAAACGTGTTGCAATCATCAAAACAACAAAAAAAAAAGGTCCACTAAGGTTAAATAAATCAGATGGAAGTGCATCCAACAGGTCCCTTCATCACTGGGCTATTGGCAGTATATACACGCTCAAAAAAATTAAAGGAACACTTTGAAAACACATCAGAGATCTCAACTGGGAAAAAATATGCTGGATATCTATACTAATATGGACTGGGTAATGTGTTAGGATTGTAAGGATGCCCCATTGTTTGATGGAAATGAAAATTATCAACCTACAGAGGACTGAATTCAAAGACACCCCGAAGATCAAAGTGAAAAAATGATGCAGCAGGCAGTCCATTTTGCTGAAATTTCATTGCAACAACTCAAAATGGTACTCAGTTTGTATGGCCCCCATGTGCTTGTATGCATGCCTGACAACATCGGGGCAAGCTCCTAATGAGACAGTGGATAGTGTCCTGGAGTATTTCCTCCCAGATCTGGATCAGGGTATCACTGAGCTTCTTGACAGTCTGAGGTACAACCTGGCAGCGCCAGATGGACCGAAACATGATATCCCAGAGGTATTCTACTGGATTTAGGTCAGGCGAGCGTGGGGTCCATTCAATGGTATCAATTCCTTCAACCTCCAGGAACTGCCTGCATACTCTTGCCTCATGAGGCCAGGCATTGTTGTGCACCAGGAGGAACCCAAGACCCAGTGCACCAGCATAGGGTCTGACCAAGTCCAACGATTTCTTCCCCATACCCAATAGCAGTCAGGGTGCCATTGTCTAGCCTGTAGAGGTCTGTGCGTCCCTCCATGGATATGCCTCCCCAGACCATCACTGACCCACCACCAAAACGGTCATGCTGAATGAGGTTACAGGCTGCATAACGTTCTGCACACAGTTTCTCCAGACCCTTTCACGTCTCTCACATGCGCTCAGGGTGAACCTGCTCTCATCTGTGAAAAGCACAGGGTGCTAGTGGTGGACCTCCCAATTCTGGTGTTTAATGGCAAATGCCAAATCGAGCTCTATGGTGTCAGGCAGTGAGCACATGGCCCACTAGAGGACATCGGGCCTTCAGGCCATTCTCATGAAGTCCATTTCTGATTGTTTGGAAAGAGACATTCAAACCAGTGGCGTACTGGAGGTCATTTTGTAGGGCTCTGGCAGTGCCTCAAGTCCTACGAGTACAGTTTACACCAATGTGCTGCAGTGGTGGCACTGAAAAAAAAAAAAAAAAAAAAAAGGCAAACTTTTTTTTTTCAGTGCAATGTGTTTGCAACACAATACATCACATTGCAACCCGCAAAAAAAGGAGTTGATAAAAAAGAGTAAACCGCAATAGATCATTTAGAAGGTATCGGCATAGCCTCCTTCACAGCGCACGCCAAGCCACGCTAAGTAGCAAAAGTGGCACTTAGAGATAATGGGACAAACCATATAACACTGATAGGGGTGCTTAAAAAAAGGCATGCTCTTTTTCATATGCCGAATACTTTATTTTCCAAAGGAAAAAAAAAAAAAAAAAAAAAAAAAAAAAAAACAACAACGACTCACAGTTGCATTTTTAAGAGCCTGCAAAAGGTTTTCTGATAAAACGTGATCAGGCGGCTCTAGAGCCGCCTAACCACATTTACGGTGCTCTTAAAAAGGGGCACCAGAGGCTCCGGTGGTGCTTCCTGGGCTATCCTTTTCTACCAGGGAAACAGCTTCCCTGGAGTAAGCAAAAGGAACTTCCCTGGAGTAAGCAAAGGAAGCAACGTGCACTGCGACACTTCTGGGATCACAGCTGTCATTCCTCAGTTAGTATAGCACAACCTATGCTGGAATAGTTTCATTGGCGGGTAGGAGAGACTTTGGGGGTCTAGCAGACCACCAATGTCTATGTAAAGAGGACCTGTCACCTGCCCATGCTATCACATAAGGTATCCTTGTGATAACGAGTGGAGGGGGGGGGAAAGGGCCGCGCCCCCCCCCCCCCCCCCCCAAGTACATTGGAATGAAAACAATAAATGAAATGTCGTCTATGAAGACTTTTGGGTACCATGGTCTGTTCTGATTCCACAGGAGTGCACAGTTTTAAAACTTGACATGTTTAATCACTTGCCCTCCATCCTACAGCAGAAGTACTGCTACAGGGCGGCACGGCTGTACAAAATCACATATATATAAAACACGTGATTTGCATTTACTGGTAGGGAGCATGTGCCGCTCTACCCGTAGCGCTATTGGCTGGGGATGTCAATCACCGAGTCCCAGCTGGCGATTCATGGCCTGCACTCAGCGATCGAGGGCAAAGCTGACAGGGGAGAGACCTGTGTGCTGGTATGGTGGTGATCAGGACACTAATATTTATTATGGCGGTGATCAGGGCGCTGGTATGGTGTAAGGCGGTGATCAGCGCGCTGGTATGGTGTATGGTGGTGATCAGGGTGTTGGTTTGGGGTATGACGGTGATCAGGACATTAGTATGGGGGTGTTTTGTGCGCAGTGGGACAGGTGACAGGGCCTACCTGCATTATTTAATATGTAAATACTGGGGCACTGATCAGGGACACTGGGGTGGCTGGCACTGCAGTGTGAGTGTACAAGCATGCTGACAGGCTGCTGTACACTCACACACTGCAGGTCTGCTTCTCTCTGCTCTCACATTGACAGCAGCATTAGAGAAGGGATCTGCTGTGCTATGATTGGTCACAGCAGTCACATGGTAAAACACCACGCGATCGCCCAAAGACAGTGGTAATGCGATCCGCTGCGTCTGGGCAACACATCGATCACCAGGCTCTGGGTCCCATGCTCTGTGCGCTGCCCAGGAGGCATCGGTTCAGGCTAATGTACAGGAAAGTTAGCCCGCATCGGCGCTGCTTCTCATCCGCCCACTCTACATAGACGTTATAATTTTCATGTAAACCAATTAACCACTTCCCAACCGCCTTATAGTAGAACTACTGCTACAGGGCAGCAGGGCTGTGCAAAATCACACACACGATTTTGAATGTCTGGAGGGGGGGGGGGGCGTGCACGCCCTACCTGCGCTGCCATTGGCGATTGCAGCTGTCAATCACTGGTAATTCCCCCACCTGGCAATCACTGACAGGGGAGAGGTCTGTATGTAAACAATACAGATCTCTCCCCTGTCAGCTCCTCCACACTGCTTTGTATGGCTCTGCATAACAGAGCCATAGAAAGCAGTGTGCTTACACAGTAAAGCACGGCACACTGTAAAAAACAAAACACAGTAAAACACACAGTTAACCCTTTGATCGCCCCAGATGTTAACCCCTTCCTGCCCAGTCAGTGCTTTTTATTAGCACTGATCACTGTATTAGTGTCACTGGGGATGTCAGTGACAGTTTCCCCCCCAATGTCAGAATGCCCCCGCCGCAGTCCCACTATAAGTCGCTGATTGCCGCCATTATTAGTATAAAAATGTAAAAAATAAAAAAAAATTCCAGTATATATAGCGCCATTTGTAGACGCTATAATTGTCATGTAAACCAATTAATTTACATGTATTAAGATTTTTTTTCAGCAAAGACATGTAGCAGAATACATTTTGGCCTAAATTTAGGACAATTTGATTTCTTAAATATTTTTTACTTGACATGCTTAATAGCAAAAAGTCAAATATATATATTTTTTTTTCTTGTCAGAATTGTTCGTCTTTTGTTAAATTAAAAAAAAACAAAAAAAAAAAAAAAAACGCACAGATGATCAATTACCACCAAAAGAAAGCTTCATTTGTGGGGAAAAAGGACATAAATTTCATTGAGGTGCAGCATAGCATGACTGCGCAGTTGTCAAAGTAAAACAGCACCGTATCGCAAAAAATTACCTTGGCATTTAAGCAGACATGTTGCAGAATACATTTTGGCCTAAAATTATGAAGAAATTTGATTTTTTTTTTTTTACTGGACATGTTTAATAGCAAAAAGTCAAAAATATTTTTTTTCCCTCAAAATGAAATTTATGTAATTTTTTTTCCCCACAAATAGCTTTCTTTTGGTGGTATTTGATCGCCTGTGTGGTTTTAAATTTTTTGCACTATAAACAAAAAACATATCCAGTAAAAAATTAAAAAATACAAAATTTCATCATAAATTTAGGCCAATATGTAATCTGCTACACGTCTTTGCTAGAAAAAAAAAAAAAAATCCACCCCAAAATTAATTGCTTTACATGAAAGTTAGAGTCTATAAATGGAGGTATATATAATACCTACCTGGAATTTTTATTTTTTTTCGACTAGTAATGGGGGCAATCAGCGACTTAAAGCGGGACTGAAGCAGGCATTCTGACACTGGGTGGGGGACTACCTGCCACTGACATCCCAATGACACTAAATACAGTGACCACTGCTAATAAAAAGAACTGACATTACACTAATGACACTGGGCAGGAAGGGGTTAACATCTCAGGTGATCAAAGGGTTAACTGTGTGCTGTTTTACACCATGTGCTGTGTGTATTTTACTTGGGAATCGTGCTGCTGTGTATTTCTCTGCTGTGAAATACACAGAAACAGCAGCATGTTACCGCTTGTGTGTTCTTTACACACAGGTCTCTCCCTGTTACTTGGCAATCGCCGAGACAGAACAAGGCATGCTAGTTAGTATTCAGCTGTAGGGAGCCCTTAGGAAATACTGGCGAATAGTCCCTTGCCCTCTTCATTGAGAAAAAAAAATTGAGTTTTCTATGAGCAATAGGACCATTTGAAAAACTTTGGCTCAGACTGTAATTTTTAGGAACACCAGCTTCCTGAATCCCTAGGATTTATTCAGCCCTTTTTATGTACAACTTTTTACAAAACCCAATCGCAAATCCATTCATGTTAGGGTATTAGCAATTTACAGGAAATCTCATTTATATCAGTGTAGTCAACCAACCAAACTGCTTTTTTCTTACCAAAATGCCAAGGTTTTGTTCTGTGTACATCTATCTATCTCTATATCAAAAGGCACAGTAATAAATCCAAAGAAAAAAAACAAAAAAAAAAAACAACACTTTGTTACAGTAACAAAAAAAGATTCAGGCATTTACTTTGCACTTACCTGCCCTAACCTTGAGAAGAAGCGATATACCAGTGAGGGCTTGCCATGAACTGACTCACCAATACTATCTCCTTCTGACATTCTGTTTCTGTGTAAAAATCAAAGAGTGAATGAGTGGTGACCGATAATAGACGGCATTTGGTAGCTGAATGATGAAGCAGAGTTGATCAAATTAAAAAACATACCATTTATTTAAAAATGTTAAATCCTTATCCTCCAAAGCATTGGGCATATGTGAGAAAAGCAGTTGAATGAAGATGCCTTGTATAGTATATAACGGTGTATAGTATATAAGTATAACGGTGTCACATGACTTTCTTCATTTTTATACACATCATCCACAGACCGCACACCGATGATCTTAGCACTCAATGAACCTTTACTGTTCTGGAGAACATGCACATAGAAACCTCACCTAAGAAATCGTCGCTCTGACACATTTCACCCTACAAGAGGCTAAATCACACAGGCCAGACATGTCAAAGCAGAGGAGTCCCAGGTGGGGCTTCAACCAACGCCCTCCCAATATTTAGCTGAGTCCTGTATTGTTTGAGCGCCGTATACACCTGCGGGTCTTCTCTCTTTTCTCCCCACTAATTGGCTCTTGCTGCTGTCAGTAAAATCCTGTTCACAAAGAGTGGGGGGGGCGCTGAGGCTAGCTGAGTGTGCGGGCGCATGCGCGTCAATGGATGCACAACACAGCATGACTCGGAATCAAGCCCTGCACGTCTGCCCCCACAGCAAGCGCTTGCTTTGGGGGCAGATGCTTAAGATAAAGAGCCAGGATCACCAGTAGGGGACCCAAGAAGTGGAGGTTCTGGGCTTCTCCGTGCAATACTATTGCACAGAGCAGGTAAGCATAACATATTTATTTTTTTTTTTTTTTAAATTGCCTTTACAAAACTTTCGAGTGACCCAATAGACTAAAAACCCAAGGCACTCTAATAATGCAGATCTTAACACCATCTAAGTCAGTAGTTGTCCATTAACAAGGTATAGGGGGCCTCAACTGAGGCCCTTATCACCAAAACCAGACATAACTTTCAGTATACTGCCAGTCACTGACTAACAGATGCTGGGTACACAGTTGCACCAAAACAGCAACAAACTATCGAAGAGTCCAACAATGATTTACTGGTTCACTAAATGATCATGTAAGAGACAACAAATAGCCATAGCATTTCAGGGGCCCATAGATCTTCTCCTAGGGGTTAAAAAAGAACTTAACTCTGCCCAACCCCAATGTAAAAAAAAAAAAAAAAAAAAAAAAAAATCCAAAATAACAAAAAGCAAACAAAGAACACACACACATACTTACTAGACCCATGCAGTCCAGCGTTGTCTTGTGGAAGCAAAAGCTCTCCTTTCACCTCTTTTCCCCGGGGTTCATCATCATTAACTGCGATCTGGCATGTGCACAGACACACTTGCACGTCTCTGGAAGGTCTGCACACGTGCGCCAGACTCTACACATCCAAACGCCATGGAGTCTCTATCAAAATGGTCTTCTTGCTTTCAGGGTCCCATACAAAGCCCTATGTTCTCACAACACCTACTGCAATTTCTCAGTTCTATAAACACATCAGCAAAAAAGGGCACTCTCATTTGACAGGGGATGGCAGCTGGGGGAACATAGTCATTTAAGCTGGACTGAAGGGGGAATTACCCTGGAAGCATTTTTCACAATGTGCAAGTAAGTATGCCTCACAAATTTTACACACAATGAAATAAAGAACCCAGAATATCCCTTGGTCCAGCAATGACAGCTCCACACTCTCCCCCTCTGCATCACAGCCACCGTTCCCATTTTCACAGAAGTTTTTTTTTTTGTTTTTGCTACCAGGTGTCTTTCTTCTTTGCCCGCATGGTGAAAAGGATTTTACTGGTAAACCAAAAATCCCATTTTCTGTATTGTACACCACTGGACACAGAGCATCTTCATATCCAATAGATAGGGATGTCTCACAGCACTGAATATGAGGGGAGGGCAACAAGTCAACTGGCCCCAATCAAACTAAGACGGTTAGAACCTCACACAGCAGCCTGTAAAACACACAGACCAAAGGTAGCATCCTCAGCGGCTCTAACATTGTAAAAAAGTAGAAACTGAAGACCAGGCAGGCAGCTGTACAAACCTGGGCATGGGAAATGGTAGACTTGGAAGCTGTATGACCCCTTCTTGGGCCTTCAGGAATCACAAAAAGGGAATCTGATAAACGAATTGCAGCAGTAGACTTCAGGTAAAACTTGATAGCCAGAACCACATCCAAAAGTATGAAAAGCCTTGCCCTCCTCCATCTGCAGCTTAGCACAGAAAGAGGACGCCACAATGTCCTGGTTGGGATGGAACAAAAACTATGCCAGGCAAAAAGTGACAGTTGAGGCCAAAAAAACCACCTTCTCATGATGGAGAACCAGGAAAATTTCCTCACAGGAAAAAGCAGCCAATTCCAGAACTCTGTGTGCCAAAAAGTAAACGGCAACCAGAAAAATAACCTTTTGAGTTAGGACAAAAATGAAATATGCCATATAGGCTCAAAAGACAGTACCAAGCTGAGGTCCCTCGCAGTTGACGGAATCCTGACCGATGGAACAGTACATGTGACAACTTGCACAAAGACACATACCAAGGAAAGTAAAGCTATCAGTCTATGAAAAAAAGGACTGCCAAGGCCTAAATCTGGTCCTTGGATCATATTCAAGGCCAGTTCCAGATAAACTTCAGGATGGAGAAAAGCCAGGATGCGATCCATGACAGGCTTGTGAGAAGTCCTCTAGCCTCACATCAAGCAATGCGAGATTTCCAAGATCAGTGGTAAATCTTCCTTGAAGTCACATTAAGAGCCTTCAGTAGGCTAGGAATGACCGAAACAGAAACTGCCCAGTCTCCCAAGACCCTGGATTCAACAGCCATACCATTAAGCCAGCGATTGTAAGGAAGGATGGTAGATCAGACTTTGCGCCAAACAGTATGGTCAATCTGGAAGGATCCAAGGGTTGTCTACTGACATGTTTACAAGTTCTCCCAGACCAGCCCAGGACAACTAGAATCACCAGAATTCTGTCCACTTGAATTCTGCGAAACAGAAGAAGTAATGGTTAAAAGGCATAAATTAGGAAGAACTAGTTCTACGGTGTGTCACCAGAGCATCCATTGCAACATGGGATGTGGATAGCTAACATCAAAGTAACATGGAGTTCCTCCAAAAAAGGATGATTACCTGGACCTAGAGATTGTCCAGAACTCCAATCCAGCCCATCAGGCTGGTGATAGTCATCAGGATGCTCCAGGATAGAGGGAGGATTGATTTTCCCATCTCCAACATCACTGTTATATAACCCTCCAGTCCAGAAACAGCCTTGTTCTGGCCTTTAAAGACATTGAGGTATTCAACAACTGCAATGTACCGTTTGATGGGACTAAGACATTTTGTTCTGGGAGTCTGGAACGAAAACTGGACAAAAAGGCACTGCCTCAAAAGGAGGCTACCATCTTTCCCAGAACCCTCATGCAATAGCAAATTGAGGGATTTGAGCACAAGATATTTGACCAGAAGATGGATCACGCTCATCCTGGACGGTATCCAGGGACAAGCTTAAATATTCCAACCACTGGGTTGGAACCAAGACAACTTCTCTAAATTCAGAGTCCATCCAAACCTGCACCAAGTGAAACTCCAGCAACGAAGTGACTTGCTCTCTCATAAGTAAGCGTCATACAAAAGGAATATTTTGGTTGCCCAATAGCCCCCAGAACCGTAGCTAGAAAACTGGTGAGCACTTTGGGAGCTGTAGACAGGCTAAACAACAATGCAACAAACTGAAAGTGGCAGTCCTCCACCACAAACTATTGGTGAGGTGGCAAGGTCTAAATGTGCAGGTAAACCTCTGATTTTCACTGATGCCAGGAAAACTCCCAGATGGATAGACCACTGATTCAATCTAGAACTTCTGCACTCGTAGAAACTCAAGTTTCTTGAAATTGAAGGTGCAACAAACATTACCATTTGGTTTCAGACCAGTGAAAGGTTTGAGTGGAAACCATAAAACCTTTCATTCTCTGGATCCTGAATGATCACTCCTTGCAAGAGAACAAACAGAGGGCGCACCATCCTAGCGCATTATCCCAGGGGTATTCTATTATAGATCGGTTAAAAACATGCTCACAAATAGTGCAGGTACACAGCATATCAAGCCATTACCTTGTGTCACAGTGGACAGCAAAACCCAGAGTGGACCAACACCAAGCAGACACCATCTGGGATCCAAAATCGACTTTCACGTTTTGAGGGCAAACATTCTTCAACAGAGCCAAAATATGTAGGCACCAACACTTAATCACTCAAGGTGATAGATGGTGATTAAGCGCTTGAAGAAGAGTAACATTTTTTTTGGGGGGGGAAGCTTGCAGCTGCATGCCCTATGTTACGGCCTCACTTGTCTGCAATCCCTCTCTGCCATCCTCTGCAACTTTCCCCCTACTTCAGAAAGTTGGGGTGCCCCTTTACTGTGAAGAGGACCTGTGCCCTGGCTTATTGGACTTTTGAGTCCATAGCTTAAGAAACTGGGGTTTTGGTTTGAATCCCTAGGACATACTGGACTGCTTTTTGAAGTAGAGAGAGCAGCAGGTTGTTGAACTGTAGGTTTTCCAGTGCGGGATACAGGTACCATCCTTCCAAGTACTGAAAAGCTGTAGAAAAATGGATCTAAATAAAGCAAGTCTCTTAATCCCTGATGGAAGAGTTGAGAAACTAGCTGTTTTTCTGTACAAAACTGCACAGACATGACCATCACCTAAGACCCTAGCAAAAAACATGCCTAATGGGAAGGTGTTATGCCTGGGAGGGGACTTCAAGACCTTTTTTTTTGGCAATGTCCAATCCACTGAAGGCGCCACCATCATTTTATCACAGTGGATATGAAGATGCTCTGTGTCCTGTGATGTACGATAAAGCAAAAATATTTTTTGAAAACAGAATAGCAGGAAGTTACCTCTAATGAATTGTATTATGTCCAGTGTCGCTCTGTACTGTACAAATAGTTTCATTAATGCCAGAAATCACACGGCACTCTTTTTCTGG